ACCCTCCAGGATAAGTATTATGAAGAGTACCAGATGTCAGACCGCGTGGACCTGGCCGTGGCCATCGTCTTCCCTCTGGTCAAGGACTACTTCAAGAACTGGGATCCCCTCAAGGTGGGGCTTCCATGGGCCTTTGGGTACAGCTCCAAGCCAGCTTCTGAAGGCTTGTGGATCGGTGCGCATCTCACCAAACTTGCAATTAGAGCCATGTCTCTCTTTCCTCTCTATAGGACTGCACAGCCGGCACGGAGATCCTGGCCAAATGGAAAGCCTTGCTGGAGAACGATCAGTTGCTCTCTCACAGTGCACAGGATCTGGGCTCAGATGCCTTCCACAGGTAAGCCTCCAGCACGAAAGGAGAGAAGGGCTCTTCCCCAGAAGAATCTCGTAAGTGGGTTGGGTCAATTCGAGCCCTGAACTGCTTGCTTGGGATCCTCAGGTTGATGTGGGAAACGTGGATGCCGTACGTGCGAAATATCGTGGCCCAGTGGCAGCCCCGCCACTGCATCCCGATCGTGGACTTCCTCGACAGCTGGAGGCACATCATTCCAGTGTGGATCCTGGATAACATTCTAGACCAGCTGATCTTCCCCAAACTACAGAAGGAGGTGTGATGGGCAATTCTTTGGGCCGCTGTGGGGAAGCTGTTTCCGCAACCCCAGTCTCTACACTTCTCTCACTGTTGCTTTAGGTGGAGAACTGGAACCCTCTAACTGACACCGTACCCATCCACTCGTGGATACACCCCTGGCTGCCCCTGATGCAGGCCCGGCTCGAACCCCTCTACTCGCCCATCCGCAACAAGCTGTCCAACGCTCTCCAGAAGTGGCACCCCAGCGACTCCTCGGCCAAGCTGATTCTGCAGCCCTGGAAAGAGGTTTTCACTCCAGGCTCATGGGAGGCTTTCATGGTCAAGAATATTGTGCCCAAACTGGGTGAGAGCAGAAAGAGAAAGTATCTCTCTCCCACCCCAAAGGCGGGCAGACTGTTAGCATCTTCTTTCAAGAAGGTGAATGTGGGCAGGCCCTGAAATCCCAGATGTTGAGATTCTGGCTGGCTACCATTGTTTGGCCTTGGTACCAGAAGGCTGTTGCTTTTGGCTTCACCATCCGCTCCTCCTGCAGCTGTTTCCTCATCAGCAAGGAAAGGGGGAGGGTTTTGGCTGCGGATGAAGGGCAGCTTATCTGTGAGTCGATGATCCCCATGTGGAGATTTAGAGCCGAGGTGGGATTCCTCCCCAGAAAAGGGAGAAGACCGACAACTGCCAGCTCCAGGGTGGTTCTCGCTCTCCTCCCTGGTTCGGTTTTTGGGATCCCCCCCAAGAGTGTCAGTCTTGGTAAAACTAAGCAGTTAATTTCATAAAGTGCAAAATATTTGGACTGGACTGACCAGTTGGTTTGCTTGTGAAGGAGCTGAGGTGCTTGTGGGGGGAGCAGGTCGTCTGTGCTCCCCCCCCCAGGAGGCCAAGTTAATGGCTGGCGGCCTTTCCTGCTGATCTCCCCTCCCCATAGGCCTGTGTCTCAACGAGCTGATCATCAATCCGCACCAGCAGCACATGGACGCCTTCTTCTGGGTGATGGACTGGGAAGGGATGATCTCCGTCTCCAGCCTGGTGGGGCTTCTCGAGAAGCACTTCTTCCCCAAGTGGCTGCAGGTGGGTGTCCCTCAGGGTCTGGCCCGGATTAAGAGCCACCATGCCCCAAGTGGTTGGAGCCCTAAAGCAGTTGGGCATCTTGGTCCTTGAACCCCGCTGCAGAAGATGGCCCTTCCCTTGTTCAGGAGCATCTCCTCGGCCTTTGGGCTGCCAGGAGTGGAATGGAAGGGCCCCCAAGAGTCAGTGGAGCTTGTGGTGGGTTGTTGCTGCATGTCCCCTTTCTCCCTCCCCCCACAGGTGCTCTGTTCTTGGCTCAGCAACAACCCCAATTATGAGGAGATCACTAAGTGGTACCTGGGCTGGAAGTCCATGTTTTCCGACCAGGTCCTGGCCCACCCCTCCATCAAGGAGAAGTTCAACGAAGCCCTGGACATCATGAACAGAGCAGTCTCCTCCAGCGTCGGTGGGTGCTGTCCTTCCAGTTATCTGAAAAGCTTCAAGGCCAGATTCTTGGCCAATTACATGGAGGGGTCAGTGCACATGTGGGGCTGCTGGCATTCTTATCCCTTTTCTCCTCCTCCCTTGACAGGCGGCTACATGCAGCCCGGTGCACGGGAGAACATCGCCTACCTCACGCATACAGAACGCCGGAAGGATTTCCAGTACGAGGCCATGCAGGAGCGCCGAGAAGCCGAGAACATGGCCCAGCGCGGGATTGGCATGGCTGCTAGTTCTGTGCCCATGAATTTTAAAGACCTGATCCAGACCAAAGCAGAGGAGCACAACATTGTCTTCATGCCCATCATTGGGAAGCGGCACGAGGGAAAGCAGCTCTACACTTTTGGGCGCATCATCATCTATATCGACCGGGGGGTGGTCTTTGTGCAGGGTGAGAAGACCTGGGTGCCCACATCTCTGCAGAGCCTCATCGACATGGCCAAGTGAGCAGGAGGGACTCAAAGGGCTGCCCCACCTCCCCCCATACCAGAAAGTGCTTATGGCCCCTTGTAAAAGAGGCTGGAAAGACCCAGCCCTGACTTTATCTGTAAATAAAGGGCATGCTTTATTCTGGTGCTTGTCTGCTAAAAATGCTCAAACTGCCCATCCTTGGGGGGGGGGGGTGGAGGTGGGGGCAAAGCAATTACTTTGGCAAATCATTGAAGGGGCTTGAGAAAGTTAGGAGAGTAACTGCTGTTAATAAAAGGCACAGGGTTCAAGATAATATTTTTAATGGTTACAAAAGTCAATATAAGATTCCCCTTCCACTTTTGGGGAGAAATCCTGGCATGGTTTCCTGGAAGGAGCAAGACCTACCATCATTTTCCATCTCTCTTCTCATCCTCCCCCCCCCCCGCCACCCACCCCCATCCTGCCCTGAGCAAGAAGCAAGAGTTGAGTCTGTCCTCTGCTTGTAGAGCAGGGCTCATTGTATGCCCAGACTGGGCTCCCAACACTGTTGCTGCAGCTCCCCCCGCCTTTCCTGTGCATGGGAAGTGGGGGAGGAATATTATTGGGGTTTGTTTCTGATGATCTCTAGCTGAGTCTCTTCCGGGTAAAGGGGCTCTGGTTGGCAGGCCCAGCAGTCCTGGGGGAGGTCCCTCAGTTTCTGCAGAGGAAAGCGGTGGACGGATGTGTCATTGAAGACATCGGGGTGTTGCAGGTGGGGCGGAAGGGCTTCCTCCTGAGTTGCCACCAACACCTGGGGACAGGTGAGCACAAGAAGGTGTCGCAGGATTTGGGCACATTGGCGGCCAGAGACTAGAAGAACTAAGTCCCTCCCACCCAAGCTAGAGAGGAAGACCCACCTTGGCAATGTAGCTATAATTCTCATAGAAGACTTTGGCCAGCAGCCTAAAATGGGAATTGGGGGACAAGAGAGACGGGATATTACAAAATGTGGAGGGGGAAAGTAAAACTCAGCTTTCAGCCAAACCGCATGAGGGGACCAAGGGTTAGGGTCAAATCAGCAATTCGCACCTTTGAGTCCCACAGTGTAGGAATCCACACTCAGGCCAGGATCGCACAAACTCAGCCAGGGCCTTAAAAGGATGTGCACAGGCTGAGTGGCTGGCAGCAGCACCCTCCCTGCCCAGGTGGCGGTGGAAGCCCGTACCTCTCTTCAAAGCCCCTGAAGCTGTTGCCCACGACCACCATCTGGGAGAGGGCCTCCGCAGACCAGTTGCTCCACAGCAGGTTGTTGTACAGTGCCTTCCCACAGTGGATCATGTAGAAGAGCGTGGGACCCTCGATGCTCCGTTTCCCCTCCTGGGCAACAAAGGGCTTACCAAGAACTGCAGGGCCGACCTCAGGGAAGAGACCCCGATTGTGGGGCCAGGCACGTTGGCTCCCCCCCTCCCCCCCCCAAGTTCACCTCGTTCCACTGCAGCACGGTGAGGCCGAGGCCGCTCAGCACCTCAATTTCCAGCGTGGAAAAGACGGGGTCGAAGACGAAGCACAGCTCCGGGGCGATCTGCAGTGCAACAGCGGGGGGGGAGGGGGGGTGACTGGCACGAGGGCCTCCCCCGCCCTTCCCCCCCCCCACCTCGCCTCCCAGCCGGCGGCCCCAACCTTGAGCTCCTCCAGCAGCAGCAAGAGGAAGGCCAGCTGCAGGCGAGCCTTCCCGCACGAGCAAAAGCTCCCGAGGCCGTAGCACACGCACCGCAGGCCCGCCGCTCTGCCCCCGGGGCCCTCCGGCCTCTCCCGCAAGGCTGCCAAGGGGTCCTGCTGGGCTGCTGGGGGGCTCCGCAGGGCCTTGGCGATGGTTCCTGGACGAGGAGGAAGAGGCCAAAGTGGGTCCCCCCTCCCTCCCTCCCCTCCCTCCCCCTGGCCCAGCCAGCGCTGCCCCGCTCCGCTGCGGTGCCCCGAGCCAGGCCCTGGCTCTCCCTCCGGAAGTGCGCTTGGCTGGCTCCGGGAGGGTCGGGGGGCCCCTCCGCCCCAGGCCTGGCCGCTGAACGAAGCCTCACTTCGGCTGCACTCCCAGAAGTTGGAATCCTTCAGTTCGGAGCTGCCAAAGAAAGGAGGGAGGGAGGAACTCGGTGCTAAGAAGAGGGGGGGCAAGGGGGGGCCTCTCTCCTTCGGAGATAGACTGCGCCGGTCTGTGGAAGCTCCATTCCCCCTCTTCCCCTTTTGGTAGTATTTTTTTTGGGGGGGGGTGTCCTTACAGCGCCTCCTGCAGCCGCCGCCTTTGCCGCTCGCCCGCCGCCTCGGGCCTCTCGTCCTTGGCCGGCCGCCGCCGCCGCCGCCTTCTGTCCCCTCCCGCAAGGCCCCCATCCGCGGACATGCCGCAACAGCAGCGAAACGCGAAAGGCGAGGAGCGTCCCTCCGCGGCACCCGTCGCCGCGCAGCCAGGAGAGCGCGATTCTTCCGCGGGGAGCCCCCCCGCCCCCACCGGAATCGCGTCCACGCACGTGACTTCCTGGCGGAAGTGGGTGGCTTCTCCGGGTCCGGCTGTCGAGGGCGCCTCTGAGCATGGGCAGAGAGCCTCGCGGGGGGCAGGGGCTCCGGTCCCCCCCGTCGGTCCCCCGCTCTTCCCGCCTGTAGGTCCCGCTGCGGAGAACCCAGAATGGCCGCCGCCCCCGCCTGGTACGCCCCCCCCTCTCCCCCCGGCGCCCCCCCTTCCAGCCCCCCCCCAGCTGACCCCCCCCCTCTCCCGCAGGTGGCGCTGCTTCTTCCTCTACGACGCCTCGAAGGTGCGGGGCGAAGGCGACCCCACCCACGCCGGGATCTGCTGCTTCTACCCGCGCCAGGTAGGCTCCTCTCCCCCCTCCCCTCCCCTCCCCCTTCGGCTGCCCCACCGGCCCCTCCCACCGCCCCTCCCCCTTCGGCTGCCCCACCGGCCCCTCCCACCGCCCCTCCCCCTTCGGCTGCCCCACCGGCCCCCTCCTGCCTTGCAGGCCCCGCGCGACGAGCAGGAGCTGCTGTGCGGGCAGATCGCGGGCGTGGCCCGCTGCGCCCTGGAGATTTCCGGCTGCCCGCCGGGCCTCATCCGGCTGCGGAAGCTGAAGTTCGCGCTGGAAGCGCAGGGCAGCTACCTGTGGGTGAGTCCGGGCTGCAGGGTGGCCTGGGATGGGGTTGGGGGTGGCGGGATCGGGGCAGGTCAGTGTCCCATGCCGGCCCTTCTCTCCTGCAGGTCCTGGGCTGCACCGCCGACCTCTCGGACCTCAGCTGCAGGCGGCTCCTGGAGCGGCTGGTCGGCCTCTTCCGCTTCTACAACGGGCCGGCTTCCAGGGCCTACGCGGTGGGTCGCCCCCTCCCTGCCTGGACTCCGCCGGCCATCAGGGGGACGGGACGGGCTACTGCCCTGGGCAGAGCGTGGCATCCCTTGGGGCCCGTCTGCCGCCCTGCAAGATTCCTCACAGCTGGTTGCGTTTTTCTCTCTTCATCTGGGGAACGTATCCCTGCAGCCGCTGCCCCGTCTGCTGAGCTGCCGTCCCGGTTCCCCTGAGCCCGGATGGCTGGCACGGGGGGGGGGTGGCGCACCGGCTGATGGAGAGTAATGTACGGCCAGCCGCTGGGAGAGCTCAGGTGTTGCGGGTGACGGATGCCTAATAATCATCACCTGACAGCAAGTCCTAGGTAACCCTGGGAAACAACCGGGGCTCTTTTGAAGCCTCTCAGTGTCAGTTGCCCCTCCAGCCAGTGGAGCACTTTGGAAAAGTTCCTGGCAGTTGCCCTCAACGTTGTATCGGTTTGTGGTTTATTCCAGCCTCGGCTCCAACTTCTCCCTCTGCTCCGGGTACATTGAGGCCGTCTGAGCCTCCTTGACCCACCAAAGGCAGGCCTTTCTGCATGGCAGCTTGTCTCTTGAGTGGTGGGGGCTGTCCCTCCCCTGCACCCACTTCTGACCGGGATGCTCTCTGTCCTTCCCAGGAGCGCTCACAGGAGGACCTTGACCGGGAGTGGGAACTCTACGTGGGCCACCTGCAGCAAAACTCCAGCGACCTCCACCGGGTGTTTAATTCCCTCTGGGCCTTGGACAAAACCAAGGTGCCTCCCTGGAGGGCTGGGGCCTGTTACTTGCTGCGCTTTCTTGTGGCGCAGTCAAAAGTAGGAAGGGCCAGGTGGGACAAGGCCCTTTGGCTGCCACGAGGGGCCTAGAAGGGTCATTTGCTCCGGCTCTCCTCTCTGGCAGGTGGACCCTTTGCTCTTGTTGAAAGCTGCCCTCATCCTGCAGAGCTGCCAGCGTTCTCACCACGTGCTGGCGGGCTGCATCCTCTATCGGGGCCGGTGAGTGTCTGGGGAGCAGGAGGTCAGCACTGAGACTTCATGGTCTCCTCCACTGGCCTTTGATCAGTGGCCTTGAAGACAATCAGCTCCACAATTGCTGTGTATCAGATCGGGGCCAGATCCCCTGTACCCCATATCCCCCCTCCCATGTGAAGGCCTCCGTGTGACCAAGTGGTCAAGGGCCTTCTTGTACTCTTAGATGAGCCTCGTTCTTCAGGGATTGGGGGTCATCCACAGGTGACCTCTCCTTCCTTTCTCCATGCAGGGTGGTTAGTACACAGCTGCCACCTGAGCTCACTGCCAGAGTTTTGCTGCAGAAGGGATCAGAGGATGGAAGTGTAAGTTGTAGCTCTACCCTTGTGGCATTGGGGGTGGGGGAGGAGGGTAGAAAATGTGCCAATATCATTTGGATGGTTCTGGTGTAATAATCGGGGGGGGGGGGGAAGGGGCGGTCATGAAATAATCCTCCTCTGAGAAAAATAACCTTTTTTTGCAGCTTGGTACCACCTGGCTAACTCTCTGCTTCCATTCTAGAGTGGGCCGGAAAAGGGGGCGGCGCAGCTCAAAGAGGGTAAGCTGGGAGCTGGGCATGGCTCCGTCCACCCTCTGGAGCCCTGCTGCCCACTTGCCAAGGTCCTTCTGAGCGCCTGAGGATTCTGGATTGGTCTTTTCTCCAGGCAGTTCCCTGACCTCTTTTGCGCTGACAACTTTACCACCAGGGGTCTGCATCACACCTGTTTACCTCTTGGAGGACGAAGCAGCTGCCCTGCGGGAACTGCCTGTAGAGTGGATGACCAGGTAAGGACAGAATCATGACAGTCCCCCCGGGCTGGGCTCTCCATTGTGACTTCAGTGACTCCCATCAGGCTCTCTGAGGAGATTCCCCGGAGATTCTCACTTCTGTTGCCAAAGCAGGTGCCCTCTGGCCTCACTGTGCCAGTCCAGACAGTCCAGCTGCCTTCTAATAGGATGAGCGGGGGCAGCATTGATGTCCAGTCGGGGCAGTCCTTCTGTCCAGACAGCCAACCATTCCCCAGGGGTGGTAGGGGCCCCCGCCCTTCCAAGGGGAGGCAGATGGGGATGGGGCAGGAGGGGCCAGTCCAGCTCAACCATCTTGTTCCGCCTACGCAGGGCTGACCTGGCCAGCAGCAAAGGGAGTGAGGCTCCCGCAGGAGGGGCAGATGGAGCCCCCTTGGTGAGGATGGCCTTGTACGTTCACCACATTCGGGGCTTGGTGCTGGCCCTCGTGGCTGAAGAGCCCTTGGTGAGCTCCGCAGACTTCATGGAGGACGTGGTAAGGAAACTCGCTCAAGGCCCTGAAGGCAGCCGTTCAGGGAGGTGGCCCGGCCAGCTTCCCTGCCCTCCAGAACCCTTTCCTGGAGACAGCTTCCCAAGTGGGACTATTGTGAGGGGGGGGGCTCTCACAAATCTTTCTCTCTCTCTCTTTTCCCCCCAACCCCCTAAACTCACAGTACCACAGCAGCCTGGCTTCTCTGAACGGTCTGGAGGTCCACCTGGCAGAGACCCTTCCCAAGGGCCCCCTCCCCTCGGCCAGGAGCACCTATAACTTTGCTCACCATGACGCCATCCAGAACATCCTCACCAGTGAGTGGGGGAGGGGCTGGGAGGCAGCCTTCGCTCTCATGTCCCAGCATCACTGATGGCGCGACTTGTCCCTTCAGCCAACGTCCTGCAGGCCACGAGCCCCGAGGACCAGCGCTTCCTGCAAGCCACCGGCCTGATCCACACCACCTTTGAGCAGCTACCCGCCACCTCTGAATTGACGCTCAGGTAAAGATGGGCGGAGGGGGGCCTGGGGGCCCTGCACTGGGCAGCTCGGGTGCGACCTTGCTAGACCACGGCCGCCTGCCAGTTAGCCCAGCACTGTCTGTGGCACACAGAAGTGATGGCGGAGGCTCAGTGCCATCCCTCCATCTAGCAGACCAAAACCAGACACAACTCTCTGATTTCACCCAGCTCTTCTGCCAGGCAGCTGCTGCCCGAGTGTGTGGTTGGCGCAGTTGCTGTAACGATCTCTTCTGCACTGCTTCCCCAGCATAAAAGAACCGGTACCCATCTCTTGATCTGTTTCAGAAATGCCAGCACGGCCGTCTATGGCTGCCGGAATGCCGTCCAGGAGAGCTACTTTCAGCAGAGGGGTTCGCCACCCTACAACTCAGGGGTGCCCAACCCCCGGGACAGCATGGTTAGTCTGCCCGGAAAGGCCAGGCTGAAGCTCCTCAAGCACGGGGTGAACTTGCTCTGAGGTGGCCTCCACGCCTATCCAGGACTGCCTCAGCTCTGGCACAGAAGCCCTGGAAGCCTTCCCACTGCGCTTGGCCCACCGACTCCTTGCCACGTCTTCCCAAGGTGGGCCTGCTGGTGGGCCTGCCTGAAGGAGCCGAGGCCTTAGTCAAACAGAGCAGCACTCGGGTCCTGCCCTTGGGTGGTTCCCCACTTTGGGTGGGGGGGGGGCGCTCTGCTGGGACTCTCTCCGCCCCTCCACCCTCCCCAGTGCCTACGAGTGCAGCGCCCCCCCCCCGCACTTTGGAAAGCGACTTGGCTCCAGGCCAGACCGTGACTGAGGAGTGGGCAGCGGCAGCAGTTTTGGGGACCTTGCTCTCTGGGAGGTGCTTTCTGAATGGCAGAGGGTGGCACTGAGGGGAGCCTTCCTCTGCCCTGCTCTCACCCGTGTTGCTGCTGGCACTCCTCCAGGCTTTCCTATTTTGGGGGTGGGGGGGTGGGGGAGCGCGTGCTCTTTGCTAAGGAATTCCAGCCCCTTCCCCTGCCTTGAGATGGACTGATGCCCATTGCCACTCCCTGCTGTCCTGGATTCTCTGAAATCTTTGCTCTGTAGGAAAGCAGCATGGGGGGTGTGGGGGGGTGGCCTTGAATAAAGGTCTGGGGGAGAATAAAGCTGCCGTCTTCTGCTCTGGCTCTCCCGGCCTGCATTCGTAAGGAGGGGCCTGCCCTGTGCTGTTGATCCCCAGGTCTGGGTCCCCGACGGACACCCGGCCCCTAGCAGGAGACCTTGGGGCCCTGGGAGGGAGCCCGCCATTGGGAGCAGCCGTGGGCAGCCATGTTTTCAGTCAAGCAGGAGTGTTTGCGTAGCAACAGAGGCCCCGAAGGGAAATAGCCTCTGTGCCTGCAGTTGCTGCAGGAAAGCTTCAGCCGCCGTCTGTGTAGGCCGTCTGCCAGCCCCAGCCGGCAAGGCAGCAGGCACAGGAGCCGAGGGAAACTCATCCTGGACACATGACTTGCACAGCCTCCAGTTGCCCCCGAGATCCCGATTTCCACCCCCCCCCCGAGGTTGAGCTCCACTTGATCGAGTCTTGCAGTGTGTTTGCAATGGGAGCCCCCAGGTTCTCGGAAGGGGGTGAATCATTACAGCAACCAGATTGGGCTGCAATTTCCAGCAGAGACGTGCTCCCTCCTGGTCTCCAGGGCTGAGGGTTCCAGAGGGGTGCCGGGGGATCCCCTGCCTGATCTGCACTCAGCACCTGTCAGCTGCAGCCTGCTCGGCCAGTGGCAAGGGGATTGCTGAGTTCTGGTTTAAAAGACACCCAGGGAATCCATTGGATCCCAGCAAAGAGGAGAGCTTTGGCCCCAGGGCTTCCTCTGCCTCTTCCTGGCCCACCAGGAGAGAGAGAGAAGGGTCGCTCCTTCCACTTTCTCCTCTGACCCCAAAGTCTAACTCTGACCACCATCAGCCACAAAGGAAAAAACAGGAATTGAGCACAAGTGTTTTATTGAAAAGTCCTGGCCTTGGCCAAGCCACAGTGCTGCTATGCGCCACGTTGCAGGTGGGGTGCAGAAACTGCCCCGTGTGGGAAATAGCATTTGGGGCTGGCTTGCTTTCAGCTTCTGCCCCCAAGGCGGCCAGAAAGCCCCCTCCTCCTGCTGCCACTCTGCAGGGAGAGGCCATGACAGCCCCTCCCCCCACCGGTGCGCAAAGGATGCTGCCCCAGTCCAGGCAGGAGCACCCCAAACAAGGCACAAAGCAGCCAATGCAGGGCTTGAGAAAAGGGGGCAGTCTCGGCCACCCCCCAAACACTGCCCTGCTATGCTTCCACTCACTTCTGCCAAAAGAAGGGGAGTGGAGACAGGATCCGGCTGAGGGTGGCCCACTGTGGTTTCTGAAGCTTCAGTGAAGATGGGCAACTGGGTGGTTTGCCTTTTGAGGAGGTTCGCAAGATTGGCACAACTAGGTTCACTGACGCCTCCAAAAACTGCAGATGCAAAATTCTGGGCACAGCAACGCACAAAAAGCAAGGTGGACGGATACTACAGCAGCATTTGGCCTAATCACAGGAAAAAGGGGGGGGGCAGTCAAGCCCCAAGCAAAGTGGCGGACGGGAGGAGGTTGTAAGGTGAAAAGGCCTGGGTACCAAATCAGGTGCAAGGGGTGAACCCCACATCAGCTGTGCCTATGTTGCACAGGCGGGAGAGCAGCCCACTCCGCAGAAACATGGAACCTGCTCCGGAAAGTAGGAGCCCCACGTCACCGTCCAGGAGCAAAAATAAAATCGAGAGCCTGGCGCTCGGCCGCAGCGACATTGGGGTGCCAAAGGTCTACCATGAACACCGCACGGGGTCCTTCCTCAGGGGAGCCTGGAGGGGCAAAGAGAAGGGAGGTTGATCCAGGGGATGGGCACAGAGATGCCACCCAGGCTCGCTTCACCTGGGGCACCTCCTGCCCACAGGGAAGGGGGAGGCCTGGAAAACGCTCTCTGGGTCTCTGTGGCACAGCACTGTCTTCAGCTGGAAGAGACTTGCCTCCATGGTAGGCTGTGTGCAGGAAGGAATCGTCAAAAATCAGGCAGCGTCCTTCGGCCCAGCACTGGGGCTCACCTCCCACCACTAGCTCACAGCTGCTGGGTGTCTTCAAACCTGCGAAGAGGGGAAGGAAGGAGAGAGGAAAGGCAAGGCACGGCATCAACCGAGCCCCCGGCCTGAGGAGCTGCCCCTCCACTATCTCAGCCCCCAACAACTGGATCCCCCAAAGACACTGCTTAGAGCATTTATGCTTCCAGCTGGCCACAAAGGAGAGGAGCACGCATACGCACACACTCCCAATTGCATCTCTAGCACCTGCCCCCCCAACAGAGGGGCGTTGCCCAGACAACCCAGGGTAGCCAAAGGTCTCGGGCAGCTGCCTGGCAGAATACAGATCAGGCCACGGTTGCAGTTGCCATGGCAGCTGCCCAGACTGGTATGCGAAGCAGCTTGTGCCAGCCATGCAAATGAGCCTTTACTGTGGGTTTATAACAAAATGGGCTCTCTCGAATCCCAAACAAATGCCAGAATGGGATTCCCAACTTTACACCGGCTACATCCAATGCCACTTGGAAAAGCACAGAAATTTCATTATGCAGAGAACCTGATTCCTACCACCACTACCCGCCAACCGCCTTTTCAAACCATCTTGGAAGATTCTGGCTGCTGGGAACATGACGTCAGGAGTCAGATAAAGCTCTTTCCCCCAAACTCTGCAAGGGGGAGTTTTGAGTGGGCAGAACTCTCGAGCAAAGGCAGCGCAGGGCAACTCCAGCCCCTAAGAGATGCTTTGCCTCCCTCCTTGCTGACCAGCTCAAGGCCACCCGGGGCTTGTCCTGGGCGGTAACCGATACCCCTCTTGCCAGAACACTAGCCAGGAAGCAGGCAAGAGGACCGCAGAACCTACCCAGGTGGCAGCGCACACGGATGTTGGTCGGCCCATAGTGCTCAGTGATGACTGTGCCAGGGGTCAGCACGGAGATGCAGGCGTTGCCAAACACGTTGCTGCCCACGCAGGTGCGGAGGCTCCCCAGCAAGCGGTATGTCCGAGGGCACTTCCGACAGTTCCGGGGCACGCAGGTGCCCTGGTTGACCAGGTAGAAGGTCAGCCACTCACCGCTGGGCGTGCTGTTGACCTTCCATCCGTCCGGCAGGCTGCAGTTGGAGAAGGCCTTGTAGAGGGATTCGAACTCACACAGGATGGTCTGGAAGTTGCGCTCCAGCAGTTCCACGTCGTGTTTCTGGGCTTCCCGGGAGAAATAGGGGGTGGTGGGCAAGTCGGGCAGGAAGAAGACCTCTGGGCGCTGGATGGATGGGCGGCTGGTCAGGTAGCGGCCCTGCTCGCGAATGCCCTTGTGGATCCGGCCCATGCCCGCCCACGAGTACCGCTTGGCATACTCCTGCAGGTTGTGGTAGAGCTTCTGGTTCAGCCCATCGCTCTGGGCACAGCGCACGCACTCGGGGGAGCGGCAGTGGCTGAAGCCGTTCTGCAGGCCGGCCACCTCCACGCCCCCCTGGAGCACCGTGGCGTAAGGCCGGGGCTGCTGCTCCCGCCCCACGTGGTAGCAGTACCAGACGAAGAGGGCCAGCAGGACGGCCAGAGTGCTGAGCGCAGGGGGGTCACAGTCCCGCACCGACTGGATGGTGGAGCCGATGAACTCCCTCAGCCAATCAAGCGACCCATGGCAGCACATCAGCCCTTCCAGAGACATCTTGGCAGCAGCTGTACAAAGCCTTGCGCCTGGGGCACACAGGCGCCCAAGAAGAAATTCAACAGGAAAAGCTGGGCAGGACCTGGGCAGCTTCACCCATCGGAGAAAGGCCGGTCATGCAGCGAAAGAGTTCCTAGGGATCCGGGTGCCAAGTACCCAGCTCAAGGTGGCCAGTGGGGCTGGTCCCATTGCAGGCCTGGGCTCCTGACTCCCCAAAGGGGTTTCCCACGGCGGCATCGTGTCTCTCAAGTGGGGAGGCGCTGCTCTGAGAACCTTGGTCCTCCCTCCTGGGTCTCCAAACAAAGTAGCTGCGGGAATCCAGCCTCTCCCTTGATCTTCTCGGACAATCTGAAAGGAGAACACACGGGGCACTGGGGAGGGGACTCCCTGCCTGTACCATCGGCCCACCCTCACCCCATCACCCAGTGCCCCAAAGGGGGCACCTCCCATAACTCCTGAACCTTAAGGAGCCGTGCAACCCTTTCCCTTTGACCTTCCCGGGTTTTGGGTGCAAGTTGAGAGCCTGGATGGGCTACCAGGCTGGAAACAAAGAATCCCTTTTGCCAGTCCCAGAGCTTTGGTTGGCAGAGGTTGCCTCCTTCCCTAGTGGGTGGAGAGCCATGCCCAGCAGCCTTGTAGGCCTGAGCAGAGGGTCCTGGGAGGGAACCCGCCAGGGACAGCAGAGGCAGCACTTCCACAGGGCAGGCAGAAGCCCGTTTCTGAGCCGCCCAGCTGCCCGCCTGCCTCAACCGCCTCCCTCCACCTCCACATTGTGCCACCCACTTAGCACCAAGGCAGTAATTTGTTAGGGATCGAGAGGCTGGTGAGTCACCAACTCTGAAGGCACCCAAAGCTGTGGCTTATCGGCTCAGGCGGTAAGCCGGGATGCCTGTTCATGGGGGGCTGCAACGCCTTTCCCTGAGGCAGAGGGGGAGCTGTGCTACCCATCCCTGCTTGGGTGAAATGAGCAACCTTCCCATGTCCCATTCTGGGATGCCTTCCTGGGACTGCAGCTCAGCAACCGCCTAGACAGGGGGGGGGGATGGAGGCTGCCCTCCATCAAAAGGGCCCTTCCTCAGAGATTTAAGCGCCAAATGCAGCTAGCACCAGGGACCCCAAAAGCGTGAAGCACCCTCCACCACATCAGGACAAGCCAAGGCTGGGCCAAGAGGGACGGCCAAAAGCCGCCCTGGGGAAGCGTCCTGGGGGCCACAGGCGGGGGCCAGCCTCTGCCTGAGTGAAATGGCCTGGAAGGGGCCCCTTAAAGAAAGCAGCAAGGCAGCCCCCCCCCAACCCGCAATCGCCAGCGCCCATGGAGAAGCGGGCAGTTTGGACTCAGTCTCTGGCTTTCCTTGCCCCGGTTGCTGGGGGTCCCTTTTTCGGGGGGGGGCTCAGTGTCTTGGCACTGCCTCCCGGAGCCTCCCGGGCGGAAGCAGCCTTATGTAAAGGTAATCTGGCAGGCCGGGAGGGCAGCTCCGCCGCGGCGCGTAAGGAGTCCCGGACTCCCAGCCTGGACGCCGCGCCTGCGGCAAAGCCCCTTCCTTCTTTCCCGGGAAGCCGGCCGCCCACGCGGCTCCCCCGCAGCCGAGACAGGCGTGCCCAGCGCAGGTGGCTGTCCTGCCCAGAGCAGCCCCCGCCAAGCCAGGCGGAAGCCTCAGGCTCCCGGCCCACAGGGACGCCGCCGCGGGCCAAGAGCCCTCCGGGTGCCGGGCACCCTCGGCACACGCCCCGCCCCGCCCCGCGCCCCTCCCCTCCCCTCCCTCCCTCCTTCCCTCGCGCTCGCCTGCCTGCCTGCCCGCCCAACCTGCCGCCGGATTCCGCTCGCCCGCACCGATCGACGGTCTGCTCCGGCGCCGGCGGCTCGGCGGCGCGGACCACAACTCCCAGCAGCCCGCCCGGCCCCGCCGGGGAGGGGCCGCCGCCGCCGCCGCCGCCGCGCGTCCTAGCCAGCCGTGGGAGCGTGCGAGGCTCTCGCGGGGCGCGGCGCGCTTCTTCCGCCGGGGAGGGGGCCGCCTGCATGGCGCAACCGCCGCCACGTGGGCATCCCTGGCCGCCAGGAGCCGCGGGAGGCTCGCTCGCCGGCCAGCGGCCGTGGGTGCGGATGCCGCGGCCGGGAGCTTGGCGAGCTTCGCCTCTGCGGGGCGCGTCCTGCCGCCTCCGGCGGGGGGGATGGAGTCGGGCTCCCCTTTGGAGCCGCCCTGCGGGTAGCGTTGCCTACCTGCCTCGGAAAACGTGGACGGACCTGCGCTAAGACCGCGTGGAATGCTTTGCAAGCGGCGCTTGGTCCCGGCCGCCAAGCCTGGGAAGAGGCGGTTGAAAGCCAAGGCCTCGGGACCGCTTGCTGGAGCTTCGCCTTAAGGCCAGAGCTGCCGCTGAGACGAGGGCCCGACTGGGGGGAGCCAAACCAGCAGGGCAAGGCCGGCCTTAGCAGGAGCGCCGCAACCTACTCTGAGTGGCAGCGTCGGTGCGCCAAACAAGAATGCCACAGAGCACGCACAGAGTGTCTTCTGCGTGGAAAATGCTTTCCTGGATCCCACCTTCCTTGGCTGCAGGCTTTGAGCCTCTGGCTTCCTCCGTGTGGCAACATCTCATCTGGCACTCAGTTCGCAAGGCTGAAGATTCTTAGCTGGCAACCGCCCAGCCTCTTGAGGTGGCTACTCCGGAATAATAATGAGGCAAATCCATTGAAGTCTGTGTTCCAGATGGGAGGGGGGGACAGAATTTAGCTGGGAGAAGCATGCAGAACAGTCCATGCCCCTACCCATGGCTCCCAGCCAGTGAGCAGTCATCCCTCAAACCCCTCTCTCGTCCTGCCCCAGAGGGCCATCAAGGCGCTTGACGGCAGCTGAGGGTGTCTTCTCCCATGCAGGGGGGTTGGCTGCTGGTCTCCTTGGTTGGGGGGACAGACGGACGGGGACTCTATTACAGGCCGGCTGGTGGGAGGCTGCCCATTCCTTGAGGGCCAATTAGTCCAGAATGTGCTGTGGTTTCCCAAGTCTCAGCAGGAGGCTATGCAAAAACATGATGGGTAGTCCATCCTATCCTACCTTCTCTGTGATCCTTGGTGGATTTAGCCACAAAGATCTGGAAGATGCTCAATAGCAGCAAAAGGCCGTGTGGGAGCTTCCCCCCTCCCCCTTGCTATCTGTTGCTTGTCTGGATCTCTGTCTTCCCCAGGATGATTGCTGAAAGGAGTAAGATGGAGAAAGGCAAGGCTGGGGGGGAGGGGGCTCCATTCAACAAATATCCCAAAGGGGAAGGAGGGATGGAGAGGAGCACCCTGTTCCCAGGCCTCCAGACAGTGGCTAATGAGAGGGTCCCACATGGCCTTCTGAGCACTCGGGCTGGAAGTGGGGGTGGGGGGGCTGCTTACCTTGGTCAGAGGCAGCATTAATCTCTCTGCTCCGGCATGGGGAGCGGCAGGGAATGGCTCCCTCCCACCCGGCCCCTGGAATCCCAGTCAGAGTGGCTGAAGACACAGTGGGCTTCCTGGCAGGATATTTGAACCACCCCCCCTTCTGAAGCCAGGTGCAGCAGGGGGGGCTTGGGGGGTGGTCCTTCAGTCAAGGCCTTGGAGAGCAGGCTGTTCAAGCAGAACTGGCACCCCAGAGTGAGGGGGTGGCGTTCCTTAGCAACCAGACAACCCCAGCTGCTCTTTTCTGTTCAGCCATCAGACTGAAAGTGCCGGCCAGCCTCTCTGCTGCTCCCAGGCAGGAGAGCAAAGGCCCGTGGACAGTGGCTCGCTCTCACCCCGGCCCCTTCCTGGTGGCCTTTCGGGAAGGAGAGCAGACATGGCCGGCCAGCCGCTTCCCCCCCCCCCAACAACTGCCTGTAAAGCTGGGCTGGGCCAGGTTCCATGTACCCAAGCCCAAGGATTCCTGGGACTGCCAGGAGAGCAGCATAAAAGGGGGGGGGGTCTTCCTCATCCTCCCCTCACTTGAAGACCCTTTGGGGTGGTCCATGACAGGTAATGGGGGGAGGTGCTTGTTCAAAGTGGAGGAGAGTAAATGCCTATCCCCATAGCCCAGGAAAAGGAGGCGCAGAAGCCCAGCTGGAGCCTTGCGAAGGAGCTCCACCTGTGGCTCTGCCAGGGAAGCAGGTCCTGTCCCAGGAGCTACTCTCCCTCCAGCCCCAGAGCTTGAGCAAAGACTGTGGCTTCAGTGCCCCAAGGTTTCCCCTCACAAGGCTGGCAACAGCTCCCAACCTTTCTTCCCTCTGGTGTGGGAGAGGGAAATGGCGCAGATGCCCCCCTGTGTTTGTCCAAGAACCTCTCTTGAGACAGGTACCCTTTGCAAGGCTGGCACCAGCACAAGGCAGCAGGGCCAGCCAAGCCCCCAGATGCCCCTCCCTGCTCTGAGCTCGGCTGTGAGGAGGGACATGATCTTCAGGTAGGAAAGGGCCATGCTGGATGCTCAACTGCGATGAAGGCCGAGCCAACTGACCCTGCTGGACGTGTCATTTGGAAGGTCAGGCAGCAGGGGGTTCCTGTCCCCCCCCCCAGAGTTTCTCAGGACCCCTCCCAGTTGGGGAAAAGGAGGCAGGTTTCCCAGGGGCCGTTTCTTTCCTGCTTGGGGAACCCCCAGGGCCCTTCCAATCCAAGGTTTAGGGGCCCTGCTTGTTCGCCAGCTTGATCTAAACCAGCAAGGTGAGATGCACGTGGCCTCCTTACTGCTTTATGTGTCTTGCATGACCACGTGAGAAACTCCGTGACACTGCATAGATTTTGCACCATTAAGACAAGGAAGCCCTGGAAGGCTGGCAGCTGCGGAGGGAGGCAGCCGGAGAGGTTTGGGTTTCTTGCTAGAGAGGAAAGATCACAGCTGAGAAGCCGTGTTGTTGCTGTGTCTTCACCCTGGCTCAAAAACACCCAAGCTGTCAGGTGCCGACAATACCCAATACCGCTGTTAGGATTACCCCAAGCACGATCGATGGGAGCAGCTCAGAACCACTGAAGGCGCTTTCCCACTCACTTGAGAACCCAGCACCGTCATCGGTGCGCTTACTCAATGCTGGCCCTGTCCAAAGAGGTCACATCATCTTCAAAAATATTTAATCCCATCACACTTATAAAAGGAGAGAAGTTGTGTACATTTGCTTCTTGGCACACTGCCTTTCCCAGCCTTCGCAAACCACAATACACTTTCACAGGAGGGGGAGGGAGGGGGGGAGGGCGGCCTGTATGCTTTAAAAGGAGGGAAAAACACAGCCACCCACACACACCCAAATCCTTGACACCTGCAGAGATGTACCAGCTTGGATTTCTAATCTAAAACAGACATGTTTTAAAAAATTGTCATGGTTACATTTTCACTGTTTTTACAAAGACGGGGATAAACCAGCCCAATATCTTCCTCCTCCAGTTCATCCAGGTAACAAGAGTGGGCTTGAGCAGGGGAGGGGGGGCTGAGGGGCAAAGTCTTCTGTCCTCATCACGTTTCCATGGAAAGAGGGGCAGCAGGGAGCCCATTTGGCCCTTCTCTTCTCTCCTTAAAACCCGACTTGTTCCAGGGCAGAGGCGTCCAGCAGGACAAGCAGCCGAGTCACTTGGGGGGGGGTATTTGTCCTGGACACAACTCCAAGTGTGTGCATGGGTGGGGAGGGGGTGGTGTCAGCCTGTCTCAGGTGTTCTTGTAGCTCATCCAGCTGACCTTTCACCCCTGCATTTTAAGTCACATTTAGGTTCCCGGGGCTCCTGATGCAACCTGGTGGGTGGGTGGCAGTGCCAGAGGCCTCTGGAATGAGCTGGATCACTAGCAGTTCTGCTTGGGAAAGGGACCAGGTGGGTGGGACAATGGCCTGATCCACCACCTCTCTCCATCCTTTCTGATAGCAGATCTCCAGGGGCTGCCTTTGCCAAAGCCCGCAAAGAATGCTCCAGTGCAAAGGGGAACTTGCCCAGAGGCAGCACATTATCAGGGCCAGGAGAGGTTGCAACGGCCAAGGATTTCTTCAGAAGGACCATGTCCGAGAGCCCCCCTCAAAAGGTCCTCTGCCCTTCATCTTCCAAAGCCCCTGCTTTGCATCTTCTTCCTCCTCACTCATCCGGACTAAGGGGCTGCTGCAATTCATACCTCACACTCGAAATAAAAATGGGAAAAGGCATGGGTTTCCCTTGACTGGGCTTCTGGGTCTCCCCTGGCGGCTCCACTTCCTTGCCCCATTCAGGCAGAGGCAGAAATGGTACCAGCTGTGCCCAGAGGAGGCCAAGAGAAGAGCTGCCCTGCCAAGAGGTCGGAGCTTTGGCCACAGTGGGCAAGCCAAGTCTCACTCCTTCGCCAGAGGGAGCCTCAGGTTTGCAGGTTTGCAAAACACATCCACAAGACCCAGAAGAAGAACCAAGCAAGGGTGTCCCTTGTGGTTGGCCACATGAGCAGCTGCGTTGCCAAGTGGACTCAGCTCCATGCCAGCAAAGCCTGAGCTCAGCACCCGCCATGAGGCTTGAGAGATCACTGAGGGAGGGTCCACCAAGACAAGGAGGAAGAAGTGGGCACAGCTGGATGGAAAGCGAAAGGAGAGCAGCGGGTTCAAGCTCTCGGGCAGATTCCACCACATCTCCAAGTGGGTCCCTTGAGGAGATATTGGGGGTGGAAGTCGAGGTGGGGTGTGTCAGGGGCTGCTTCAGATGGACACCTCGTATTCCCGGGTTTCCTGTGGGGAGAGAGAGAGAGAAGGCACCGGCCACTGAGGAATCTTCTCAGACGACCCGTTTGAAGAGAACCTCTTGGCTTTAAATGCCTGAGGGGTTTAAATTCAACACTTGGGCAGAATAGGCAACCTCATCTGACTGTGAGGTTGACCTGAAGAAGGGAGCAGTTGGATGCGTCCCTTGCTGGGTTAAATTTGGGAGAACAGCCAACTACACGCTCAGTAGAATGTCCTGCATTTTTTAGTTTTCTCTCACTGTGTATTTTTTTTTAAATAAGGAAATGGAATGGCTACTCATGTTGATGTGAGCCCTGGCAGAC